TGAGATGCCTGATAGAGGTCCAGGGGGAGGCACCATGAGGAAGGCTGGATATGCAAGCCTGGGGTTCAGGAGGGCAGTCGTGTTTGGATGTGGAACTCAAGCCATTAACAGTTGGCCCTGAGTGTCATGGGACAGAGGAGGTTGTCTACGAAGCACGTGTGGACAGAGAGGGAAGGGCTTTGAGGACGGAGTCCTGGGATACACCCAGAGTTAGAGGTGGGGGTGATGATGAGGTACTGGCAAAGGCAACTGAGACCCAGTCAGTGAGGTGGAAGGACACCAGGCCAGCGCAGTGACCTGGAGGGACAGAGAAGAGAGCCCTTCACAAAGCAGGGAGTGATCAGCAGTACCCAGGCTTCTGTGAGCTCCAGTAAATTGGGCTCTGGGATTCTCCACGAGCATCCTTTACTCCACTGGGGTGGATAATGGGAGTTGAAGAGACTGGGGTACGGGAACATTCTGAGTCCCACACACGGTGGGGTATCAGTGCACGGGGAGTGTGGAAGTCAGCCTCCTGCTGGGTGAGGAGGAGCCCAGAGTTCTGCTAATGAGCTGCTGTCTGGGCCACTCTGGTACCTGGGGTAAAGAGCCGACACTGGCCAGTCTACCTCCTGAACCCTGTCAGCTGTGCGTCAGAAAGGTGCCCCCAACATTTTGTAGTTGGACTATTTCTGGTAACACTGGGGTTCTACTTTTTGCTTAATTTAATTATTTTTGGACTATGTATTGGTTTTTATTGACTTTTGCCAACAAAGAACTCCTTAGTTTATTATTGAACAGGACTGGTCTGAAGATAAATGAAAGTGTTGTACTTGGAAAGACAATATTCTTTTCAACAAACGCCCCCTGGGAAAAAGGCTTTTTGTATTGCGTGATCCCTGAGTCAGGTCTAACACAGACAGTCTTGCAAAACCAGACAGGTCAAATGACAACAAATTTGGGTATTTGGAGAATGAGACTTTGAAGGGCTCTAGCCCCGTTCTGTTGCCTCCAGTGGCTGCCGAGCCTCTGGTCATCACCGCAAATGCAGACTGTTACATGCCAAGGCACCTGCAGAGCTGGAGAGGGGGTCACGGGACTAGAAAAGATAAAATGTTCTTCGTGAGATTCAGCCGATGTTTCTTGAATAAACATTCCCTGCATTGCTGTAACTGTTTGGTTAATTTCCAGAGTTTTGAAAAAGTTAATTCTGACAGTTTTTCCCAATTTTCTTCTTGCTCAATTTTTATGAAGGAGAGGATTTTTCACCATTTTTGCTGACATAACTTGACAGTGTTCTTTCTTTTTGAGTTATTTATTTTATATAAGGATACTATATGATAAGACATAAAATACACAAAACCAAAATTAATAAGTAAAATGATCAATCCCTGTTTTTTCTATGCCAATTTATAATAAAATTATATATATATACAAAATTGGACACATATACATATATATTTCTATATACAATATGCTTTCTTTTCTATAATTGGCTTTCCTTTCTATAATTTGCTCTCCTTAGCAATGTATTACTATTGATGTCTTTTTGTCACTCGATAACATGTACGTCACCATTTTTCATAGGTACATAATATATAGATTGAACAGTTGTACCATAATTGAACACATGCCCTCTTATTGGACCTTTAGGTTATGTTAATTTCTTACTTTTGTAAATAAGACTGAGATAAACATCCTTTTGTGTGCTTTTTTATGTGTTTGTCCCATTTGTTTTGGGAGGTAGACTCAGAAGTGGGGTTTCCAGAGGGAAGGATACAAAGAGAAAACAAGCATGTTTGGGGGCACTTGGGGAGGGGGCATCTTGCTTCCTACAGTCTAGAGAGAAAGGTCCCCCCATTTCCTAGCTGTTACTTCCTGCTCAGCGTTAGACAGTACAGTCTGCAAATGCATGCTCATTTAGATTAATTCAATTTGTTGGGTAGAAGGGTCATTCAAATTCATGAAAAATCCTCATTTTAAGTTACCTTCTGGAAATTTTCTTTTTTTGACTTTTAAATAGGAAAGCCTAGTGACCTCCTGATACCCTGATGAAGACCAGTCATTCATTGTTCTTATTGTGGCCCTACTGTGCACCCTTGCTATGCTGATAGAGGCTGGACTAATAAGCAGCTGAGAATGACTCGCTCCTGGCACAGAGATTTCACATGGAGTGAATTATCACTTGCATCTAGAAGTCTCCAGTGAGAGTCTTTTTCTCTGTCAAGAACAAATATGATTAAAAGTTTGTAACGACAAGCCTGAGACATTTGCGATGGGCTTAAGAACTTGCTTTATCAAAAGCTAGAGATTAAACCACATTCAGCATAGTTTTATGGTTAAGCACATTATAGTTCTCTGAAAATGGCAATCCCTTTTTGCCACATATTAGACCCTTGATATTTACGAAGGATTTGTCCCAAGACCTTTGAGACTTCCTAAATTCATGAATGTCACTGTAGCTTTCAATTTCCTCTGTAACACGCAGTAAAGACCAACTGAAAAATACATGAGACTCCTTCAGGCTCTTTATGATTCTATAAATACAGGACTGCAGTCATTTATAAAGCTATTAAGACAAATTTGCGCTGGAGCCCTTCCTGAAATGGTTTTCGGTCATTATTTTTCTCTTTCTCTCTGAAGCACGGGCCAAACAAACCCGCATTAGGAATTCAAGCCTCAGCTGAGTTCCACTTTTTGTATCTTATTTTATTCCAAATTTCCATTAAGCTAAAATGTCATGGGGCTTCTTTTCTCGTTTCATATTCCTCATGCTTTAGGAGTTGACTTGCTTTGGGGAGCCATTCTTCTTAAGAAATAAAGCTTGCCTTCCTTGATGGAAGTGACTGTGGTTGGTGATGGTTTGATCCCCCGGATTTAAACCTATGCCTGAATAAAACTGCAAAACTGCAATCATACTTTTGAGTTATTTGCAAATAGTCAGCATCTGCATTGCTTGGGCGGGTGGGGACTCTGTTATCCAGAAAGCTCAGCTAACCAGAACACCGGCATGTCCTAGCTCACTGATGAATGACCCTCTCTGTCTGTGAATGCAGCTAAACCTCCTTTCCTCTCTTAACTGAATTTAAATATTCCATTCCCGAGGATCTTCCTTGTTCCCTGATTTCACTGAGCTGATTCTGGACATGGGCAGAACACAAAGGCCAGACTCCACCAGGAGACCCAGCATCAGCCCACACGTTTGCTCTTCGATAGCCTGCTACCTCCACCCTCTTCTGGAACACAGGGGGAGTGGGCTGTCACTGAACTTAAAGTCAAGTGGGGGAGACAGATGATAAACTAATAAGCAAGAAAGATGTGAACTAAGGGAGGAATGAAAATAGGGTGGTATGTGGTGCTTGGAGGTTCCGGCTCAAGCCACGCTGTGCCCTTTGGGAGGTGGCCGCCCTGGATGGTTCGGGCAGAGCAGAGTGGTGGACAGGGGAGAGAGACGGTGTGAAGACCCTGCGGGGGGACGTTCTAGGGATGGAAGGAAGACCCACGTGGGCAGAGAGGATAGTGGCAGTGGGGAGGACGGTGGGTGCTACATGGGGATGGGTGGGGAAGCAGCCGCTGTGGGTAAAGTTACTATATGTTTTATGGTCCAAACCCAGATACTTTTGAAAAAGTGGGTGCTTATAATAATCACCCTGGGGCGACAGGTGTCAACCTGGGCTGTACCTGGACGCCCGGGATATGTGAGTCCCCACTCATGGAATGCGTGGCCTGTGGGCAGGGGCTTAGCAGAGATGGTGCCAGCCCTTTCTCCAGCATTGCCCTCTGTCCCCACTGGAAAGCTCCACAGGTGGGCAGATGCACACCTTCCTGGTTCCAGCTGTCATCAGTCACCCTGGCCAGAGTTCTTCCGGCAGGTGGGTGGCTGGATTTACAGGCCAGCCCTCCACTAAGACCTGTGTTCTTTGTCCCCCTCTCTCCTCTTCCCGGCGATGGGTCTCTCAGGAACATTGCCCAGGAAATGCAAGAAGGAGCTCCTGGCTGTGAAGCTGAGGAACCGGCCGAGCAAACAGGAATTGGAGGACCGGAATATTTTCCCCAGGAGGACTGATGAGGAGAGACAGGAAATCCGGCAGCAGATTGAAATGAAGCTCTCCAAGTAAGTGGCAGCGTGTGGGCTCAGGCGGGGCTGGTTCTGGCTCACAGTCTGAGCCCCTCAGAACCCACCTTCCCTGTGGTGCAAGACCAGGGCTCACAGGCGCAGGGTCTGCAGCGGGTCCCTCAGCCCTGCTGACTGGTGACGTCTTCATTGTGAGGGCTGTCCTGTGCTTTTTAAGATGCTTAGCAGCATCCCCGGCCTCTACATGTTATACTCCCCAGGACAACCAAAGCTATCCCCAGGCATTGCCAAATGCCTCCTGGGGGACAAATCTCTCCCGATGGTGAACCACTGGTCTGTAGGAGCCGGCAAGGCACATGATGGAGTGAAGGGGTCGCAGCCGGGAGGGACTATGCTGACCGGTGAGGATATGCCTTGTTGGGCTGGGGACAGGGACAGTTCCTGTTCACCTCCATATGATGTCATCCTGCAAGAATATGGATCAGTATTGCCAGATCTTCTGAGGTTTTCAAGGAGAACTATATACACATACATACATGTATACTAGGGTACTTCAGAAAGTTCATGGAAAGATTTGTATTACCCTTTGATTCTATTTTTCCACAAACTTTTTGAATTATGCTGATACACATGTATATACATACATATAATATTTTGGACAATATCTATACCAAGTTAACCCATCTTTTGTCCTGTTGTGTCCGAAAGCCACGAGAGAGCACCTGTTATGTTCCAGGGTCCCCTGGGCAGTCACCTCCATTCTGCCAAATTGGAGATGTACTGTGTTGTGGGGCAGGACAGACTGGAGCTGCTGTGTGTTAGTGGCTGAGGTCTGCTGGGATCATGCGCCCTTAGAAGATTTTGGAAGGCAAAACTTCCAATGAGTGGGGGCAGAACTGTGACAATGTGGTGGCTTTCAAGTGTTGGAGCCTCTCTAGGTTACTTTCCAGGGCAGAGCCAACTGGGGTCCAGAAACTCTCCGAGCTCGTTCCATAGCACAGTCCCTACCCGTGGACACTGCCTGAAGCCAGCCAGGAGCAGCTGGCTGCGCAGGCTCCAGTGGGCTTTCAGAGGGGCATTGGGCCCTTCCAGTAGGGTGGGCTGTTTTTTTTTTTTTGATCTCCGCAAAGAATGGGGCCACATGGCAGCCAGTGCTTCCCATGTGCTTGGGGGAAGGAGGCACTGATGGAGTCCCGCACGGGGCCCTGTGTCACAGCCTACCTGTGTCCACTCCATCTTCCATTTCCCCTGTGCTGGGTGTGAGCTGCCCACAAGTGGCTGAGCTCAGGCAGACAGTGCCCCGGATACCCCACAGTCTGCCCCCTCCCTCTTTAAACCCCAGAATCCGGCCCCTAACAGCAGGGAGAGATGGTGCCCCAGAGGCAAGCTGGACCAGCCTAGGTAAGTATCACTGTTCCTGTGCCGCCATTGATTTGCCCTTGATCAGTGCTTCTCACCATCCCCTGCACTCGTGCCACTGGGGACCTTGGGAAAATGCAGATTCTGATTCGGGTGTCTGTGGCGTCCTGAGAGTCTGCATTTCTAACAAGCTCTGGGGGTACCGATGCTGGTCTGGGACCACACTCTGAGAAGCAAGAGTCTAAAGCAGGTTTCTCAGCCTGGGGGCATATCGTTCTTTGCAGAGGGGGCCATCCTGTGCACTGTAGAGTGTTTAGCAGCATCCCCGGCCCCTGTCTACTAGATACTAGTAGAACCCCCCCCCCACACACACACACTTGTGACCATCGAAAATGTCTCCAGCCATTGTCCAGTGTCCCCTGGGTTGGGGACAGAATCATCGCCTGTTGAGAATCGGTGATCTAAAGATTGGCCTGGATGACTTCTCTAGGCAATGTTTTCTCAGCCTGAAGTGCAGTGCTCCTAATTTCAGGTGGGTTTGGCTCTCCGCTGGGGAGGTTGGGCCCCAAAGTCCCCAATTCCCATCAAAATCCTTTACTTGACTTTTCTCCTAGTGGAAGGCAGTAGTTGTGAGTGGGTGAAGCCAGGTGCTGTGGCTGCCACACCACACTGAGTGTTCTGCTTCCCTGGGCCTTGGACAATGCACCTATAAGAT